TACATATATATACACATATATATACATATACATATATATACATATATGTGTGTGTGTGTGTATATACATATATGAAACATATGTATATGTATATATATGTTGAAAGACCCCGGACTACAACACAATGTACGATTAAAGTGTCTTGAAACACAAAGGAATGAATAACATCTGTTGATAATGCAGCCGAGCAATTGTGAACAGCGGCGTAGGCGAGCTTGTATACATACAGAATCGATGCACTTAAATAATTTACGTATGGTTGCCTCATAAATGATGAATAAAACATCAGGACAGACAAGTCTTTGATTATTGTGGTCACTGCGACTCCGGGAAAGGCGCATATGAACATTTGATGAACATCAGATCATCCTCCTCTTTCCTCACTCTGCAAAAGAAAGCCAGCGTCTCTTGGCCAGTAAACAGTACACTTTTATATTTCTTCTTCCTCTTGACACATTGACACCTCTCTCACCCCCCCTCCATCATGAATTATATATCACCTGTGCAAACGGCAAGAGTCCAATTCTCACTTGAAATGTTGGGGCGAGTTGTCTAGCAAGCGGCGAGCCCCTGACAGGACCGGCTCGCTCCCTTTGCAACTTCGCCACGACAAAATGTTGAGCCCCCTTTTTCTTTTAAAAGATGGAATAAAAGGGAACAAAGACGGAGAAACGAAAGGAGGGGTGAGATGAGACTTCTGTCAAAAAATTATCTAAACCAGGCGAAGATCAAAGACGACTGAAGAATTTCCTGCAGCGCCAACCATTACGCCGAAGAACAAGAGGTACAGCGAAAAATATGAGGCAAAAGAAAACAAATACAGAGGGAATATGGAAGAAGCCCCATGTGGCCTTATTATAAGGGCTACACCGCAGGTACTATATTCTTTAACAGCAGTGCTTTATAAATTCTGTCATCTTGTTAAGATTGTCAGGACCACTGACCCTCCCTTCCCCTCTAACTGGGAAACTGGCATTTTGAGGCTCATTCTTCTAACCGCAGCTGTCTGATTGCTTTGGTTGAGCACATAATCCAAACGGCTTGTCTCGGCTAATTGTTTGCGCTCCTTCCTCCAGCAGACACAAGGCCGGGGATGAGAGCGGGAGCTTCACTTGTGATGGAGAGAGGGCAAAAGGGTGCCGGGATCCTACACTGCTCATTATATCTCCCACTGTCTCTTTGTTGTGTTTCATATTCACTAGTTCTCCCGACTGCGATGCAAGCAGCGCTCCCACTTGATCATGACGCCCGAGGGGGGGGGGGTGTAAGAGCAAGGGGTCCCACTTTCACTGTTGTCACAACTCGCCTGCGTTAATGTTTATAATGAGGAATGAGCCAGATCATAAAAAGGGAGTCATGCAGCTAAATGATCAGATACAAGCTGAACTGTGGCATTTTGTGCTCCATTTAACCATTTAACAACAATCATTTGGGACTATGCAACACCAGCACTGAGAAGTCTACAGCCTCCAACCTCAGTGCTTTGAGAAACTGTCTGCCATCTCTTTCTTTTTGCTTTTTTTGCTTTAGTGCCACAGTAGAAATCAACTGTTATCTTTGACTGTCCTGGTCCCAGCTTCTGAAGTACTGGAGGACAAAGCGAGACTGATTGTCAGAGGTCGAAAGGCGAGGTCAAAGTCGCCTCATTCGTCAGACAAAATGCTATTTTTGTTTCCTATGCGGTTGAGGAGTGAAGGTGGGGGGAGGCAGCCTGCTCTCTCATTACCAGCGCTATCCCAGTAGTCCCTGCCAACCCTTCTATTACGGCACTTTTCTCTCTGGGGCTGATTCGACTCCTTGTTTCCCTCTCAATGCACAACACCTCGGTTTACAACCATTCCCCAACAGTTATCTTATATATCGTGTTTGTGTGTGTTTGTGCACGTGAAGTCAAGGCAGGATCCAGACCTTTTACATATCTCCCACATTGACAACTCAACCAATATGTGAACTTTGAAGAACATGCTGGACATTGATGCTGAAATACTGCCACAAAGGCACAGTGTGTTTGTGCATGTATGAAAATGGCATGCACTTGTAGCAAAGACACACACTACATAACATATACCCGTTTCACCTCAAACTAAGCAGCCGCTGAAAATGTATCGCGTAAAAATAGATATCTATTGATGCGTTTAGGCTGGCTAGAAAGCTTTAGGAATAGGTGCCCATCATATTATAGCCCTTAGAAAAGGCCCAGCCAAGGCCAACAGGAAGCGTGACTTCAGTCAACGTGTCCACACAAAAGGACGGCATCAAACTGTGTGTGCTCCACACAGAAGAAAGTATGGTCAGACGAAGGCAGAAGCGATTAACTCATGTCGCAGGAATTCAAGTTTCTTGTGGGTCATAAAGGGCAAGCGACTGTACAAACCTCGGTAAAGAATGTATTGAGTTCACGAGGATGAATCAAATCTAGTCGTCTTTATGTCAGATCAAAGTGTGTGCACTGAATGCCTTTCTTGAAGATATCATTGGTGTTGGAATACGTGCGTCTACCTGCTGTTGTAGTGCCTGAATGTCTTTGGTATCACTTAGTCGTGCTGTATATTAAGAGCCAATCAGACGCTGCAGATGAACCTGTCAAAAGTTAATGAAATTGTCCAATGTGACCCGCCCTGTGTTTTTAGGAACTGCTCGAGTCTAAACACAGCTGTCATTCTCTAACAAGAGAGGTGAGAGGGGACAAACAAGCTCCCCATTACTGCTCTGCCTCACGTTCCGCTATGGGAGTCCATAAACCACTGTCTCAATTGCCTTTTCAGAGAGTCACACTGATAATTACTCCACTGGAGGTAAGGAGATTTAGCCTCTATGAGATCTGGTAATTACAAATGTGGTCAAAGGAAGGTCATTTTTACTCTGCGGATTAGAGCGGAGCACTCGCTCCCTGATGAAGTGGATAACGTCACTGTGTCTGCACTCATTTCTTTAGTTCACTGTGAACTTTTATCTACGCTGGTCACATTGATAACACTCGTCCATGCAACAAAACATTCATTATTTTCACGAGTGACCGATTACGTTTTCTTCACAATAATCGATTTAACCTATAAACTTTTACACGACTCACAAAATGTGTCCAGAATTCTTAATTAAAGAAAAGGTAGCAGTACTGCAACAACAACAAAAATCACTGAAGTACCAAAGCAATTTTTGCAAAATGTACTTAAAATATTAAAAGTACTTTAAATGCAAAAAGACGGCATATGTGAGTGTTATATTATTGCTGTATGTGTTACAGTATCTTTCTATTACTGATGCATTAATGTATAAGTAGCATTTTACTGTTTTGTACCATTGTGTATACTGCTGTTTCATTAATAACAATGCATGTTAGCGTTGTTTTGTTAGCTTTTATATGTTGTGTTTGTACAATCTTAATTTGTAAGCTATACCGTCCAGATAAATGTAGCGGAGTTAAAATAGAATTGGAGCACAAATTTGTGTTACGTCCCTTTTACCAGCAAGTCCAAACAATTGGTAATCAGGTTAAAGAAATGGAAAATAGATTCCTGCCTTGGCG